CTTCTCCAGCTCCTGGGCACTTGTCAGCTCCATGTGTCTTGTCAGCAGGAAGGTATTGAAGGGAGTGAGCATGTGTCCCACCTCTAGTGAGCTATATCCTTAGCACCTCCAAATGAGGTCATCAAGCTTCATCCTGATTGACAGGCTAAACTCCACCCCTTTACTCTCAATAGTCTCAAACTGACAACAGATTATGTAATTACCACAACAAATAACTCTGACAGAGACCTTTCTTGATTTTAAACCACGCAGTATTCCCTTGTTCTGTTTGTACAACTGCAAACAGATAAAAGTTCAGAAGAGCACAACGAACTGTTCTGGAATTCCCATTTTTCTCAGAGTTATCCATAGATTATTATGATCCAGATGAGGGCCTTGGCACAGTCAATATAACACAAGTAAACATCTTTCTTGCACTCTTTCCTTTGAGCCAAGATCCATCTGACATCAGCAATGATATCCCTTGTTTCACACCCTCTTCTAAATCCAATCCACACCTTAGGTAACTCCCTGTTAAAGTACTGCTATAACCATTGTTGGATGATCTTACGTAAAATTTCACTTGCATGTGCTATTAGTGATATTGTTCTCTAAGTTAAGCTTTCTGTTGGGACCCTTTTCTTTGGAATTAGTACAAATAAGGTTCTCTTCCAATTAATTGGCCAAGTGGCTGTCTTTCAAATCTCTTGGCATAGACAAATGAGTGCTTCCTTCATTTTTATTAATGATTTATTGTTAACATGCTGTGGTAATTATGTAATTTTATGTCAATTTGAAAATATATAAAAGTGTCAGGGTAGTATTCAACCTCTCAATTAGCTAACAGTCCGATATGCCTTTTTGTGGGCATGGTCTAAGGAGAGCCCAGGGAGCCTCCCTACCTCTCTGCCTTGACATTTTTGCTTTCTGACTCTGAGAGCTGCCAGAGCTCTGTCATATTTCCATAAACTTTGGATCCATTTGACTTTGCACCCACGGGTTTGTGATATTCCTCTATTCTGCATCATTGCATATGACTGCATGAACAGGAAGAGGGACTTGTGAACTACTATCAGACTTAAAAACTTGAGCTAGACTGGGCTGAGATGTTTTCTTGATATATACTTTCTTCTTGATATAAAGTTCTTTCTTTTTTTCTTATTTTATTAGGGGATCATACATCTCATCACAATCCATACATACAACATTTGTGTCCAGCACATTAGTACATATGTTGACTTCATCATTCTCACAACACCTGCTTTCCACTTGAGCCCTTGGTGTCAGCTCCTCATTTTTTTCCCCTCCCTCCCTGCTCCCCCCTCCCCCTAAAGTTCTTTCTTATACATATTTTTGTGTCACTGAATTTATTTCTCTAGTCAACCCGGCCTAACATACATGTGTAACCCATTAATCCAGATATTTACAGAAGAACAGAATTAATCCTTATAGTTCAATAAAAGTTATTAATTTTCTTTAGAGAGGACAATAATAAAGGGGGGAAAATCCCAACCAAAATGTATCCTCTTCACAAAGATTTATCTCCTATTGAGTTGCTTCACTGTCTTATATTAAATCAGCCTAGGCTAAGTGTATAACATATTCTTACGAATGTTTTATGTCTATTACACATCCCTAAAAAGGAGTGATGACACCATGAAACACCTCGAGAGGTGGAGGGATCTGGAAGACATTATGCTGAGTGAAGTTAGTCAAGCACAAAAGGACAAATGCTGTATGAGTCCACTGCTGTTGGAACAAGCAGCAGGTGGGCACAAGCTCAAGCTTGTAGGGCATCCAGTTTGCTGCCCAGTGGGGCCAGAAAGCCTGTTAGAGAATCTGACTGGTGCCAATGAACCATACAACATTTGGTCAAGGTTAAGTATTTTGAAATCACTTTGCCAGAGGGCCCCTCACGTCAACTGGGATCAAATGGTCAAGGGAGGAGAACGGGATTTTTATCTGATGAGTGGCTGCCATGAAAACCTATGAGGAGGTCCCTCCGGACAAGTAGATAGACCTATCAGATGGATGAGGGATATTTATGGGAAAATCAAGTCAGGAGAGGGAAAACAGGGCAAACTTGTCTGGGGAACAGAAATGCATGACTGTCAGTAGGCAAAGCGGGAGGTCTGACCTCCAGTTGGGGGGAAGAATGACTGAAGATGCATTTGTGGGGGGAAGTGTCTCTGGTGGTATGTACTGAATTGGCCCCATTGACCTGGGCTTCTTGGTGCATCACTGGGACACTGAATCCTGGATCTTTAAGGTGCACAGCATGCTCCAGAAGCTGCATCCATGAGATCCAATGCTAAATTTTCACTGTGTGAATTGAACTCTACCTCTGACACACTTATAACTTGAGAACATAAGTTGGAAAACACATGGTGTCTGAGGAAGTGGAAGACAGCTGTACCAAGATTGTTGTAGGCAGACACACATGGTCTTGCTACATCAATGCCCCATATGCTGTAGGAAGATATGTATTACTCTGGCAAACCTGTGACCAACATTCTCAGTGATTCTTATTGTAAATTTCCCTGACAATTAAAACTCATTGTTTGTGTAAATTGTAAATAGCCATGAAAGGATTGATTCTGTACAAGTGAATAATTCAGGTACTATGATATGGAGTTAGCCTACATTGGCCCCAATCCCTCTCTGAACAGGGGCTTAAAAAATTCGTTCTAGGGACTATTCAAAGGCAACATCAAGGGATGATCATTATGCCCCAGAAGGGTTGATTGATAAGAGTCTCTACCATAAATTATCAAGGAGGTTTTGAAAGGCAGGCAAAGGCAGATAAAAAAACAACCAAACAAAGAACAACAAAACATGATCCAGGAATGGGTTTTGGGCTCGCATTAAATTCTAGCTCCAACTTAAGAACAATTAGTTCTTACATCCTGGCCCTGCTCGATACTTGTCTTCCGGATGGGAACAAAATATATGGGTGCTATAGCAAAATGTGATGAAGAAATTAGATGGTGCCTGGCTATCAGATAAAACAGTGTCTGGAGTCTTAGATGCTTGTCTCCAAACAAGCAGCCATCTATGTAAGATGTCAATTAAGTCCACATGGAAGAAGCACCGAAGGACTGTAATTCAGAAGTTGAAGGAGGAATTAATATCAGAGCCTAAATTGTGAGATTCCAGTTTGCAGAAGAATATGGATGACAGTAGGAGCCCAAGATACATTTGCGGACACTATATAGGAATAAGCCTCCGGTGATCTCCCTCAGTCCATAATTGAGGGGTAGGAAGAAAGTGCTTATAAACAGAGTGCATTGGAAAGAGGCGTACAGATGATCAGATGGATAAATCTGACGTGAACAGTTAAAACTTCGTCAGTTGATTCCTCCCCTCTGATGCACACTGGATCTGATCTGGTTTTCAACACTTTCTGTATTTTTGTTTTGTTTTTATGTGTTCATATTAGGGTTCATCTCAGAGGTGTTATGCCTTGGGGGGTTACCCTCTTGTATTTGTCTTACATGCTTTTCTGTGTATGAAACCAAGGATTGATGAACTTATGAGGACAGCAGGTAGTATAAAGGTTTCCGGGGGTGGAGGCAGGGTAGAGTGGTGGTGGTGGTAGTGGGGGTAAAAGGGAGACAATGTCAAGGAGTCCCGGAAGAAAAATAATGTTTGGAAACTGATTGTGGTAGCCATTGTACAATACTTTTTGATGTGATTGATATATGGAATGATATATGTACTAACTCCCAAATAATAATGAATATATAAAATGTGGTCACTAAAAGTCAGTGAAGTTTACCTGTGTCAGTTTTCTTGCCTCCTATGCAGCCTAAAAATTAACTTAAAGATTTTTCCTCAATTAATTTCAAGAGAGAAAGAAAAAGTAGAGAAATGGTATTAATTTGAGGATTTACTCTGTTAATAAAAACAAGAACAACAAAGTGAGCTGATAAAGACATATTTTTCTGGTTTAGATGTTTACTTTTCCTTCTTTTATGAAAAAAGTCACGTAGTTTAAAAGGAGCTATTAGTCATTAGAAGCCTTGATTTTCTCTAAACAAAGCTATTCCTCACATCCTACTTACCAAAATGAAGAAATCCGAATCACAACCAATAATAAAAATTCATTACTCACTGTGCTATAAAAGATCTCTGAGAATAGATACTTTACAATGTAAGCTTACTTTTCACCAGTATTTTAATAAAAATCTATGAAAAGTTATGGACTGATTTGACTTGAAAAATGCAACAAAGAGTAAACTGATAGGAAATAAAAGAATTAAGAATTCATGAGTTTCTACTGTTAAACACTTTACACAGTTTCTTTTCATCTTCACATATATTATATGAACCAGAGATACTTCCACTCATTTTCCAGATGAGGAAAGTGAGGTTAAACACTTGAAAGATAATTGAACTCTGTCACCAAGTCAGCAAGGTTTGCGTGGCCTCGGTGTGCTTGTCTACTATGAATCCTACATTTACACTTTAAGATTCTTCATCAGTTAATCTCAAGCTAAGAAGAACAAAATAAAGTAATGATGTCAATTTGGGAATCTATTCTCAGTTAACAACAACAACAACTAATTATTTGGAAAGACTCCTTAATTTTGATCAACTTGGCATTATATAGTGTCTGTTATTTTTATTTCTTTATATAAGCCTGAAGGCAAGGAGGAAAAATTAGTCCTTTAAAACGCTTTTTCTTCATAAACCATCATGCTGACAAATTAAATGACAGTAACCTTGCTGAACAGCTGACAGCCTAGCAGGGGCCCTGTTAACATGTGCATTAGGGTAGACTGATTGGTTTAATTGGAAGTCATGCTTAAAAACCTGCAGAGGAATTGATGCTGAATGAATCATTTCCTTCTGCAATATTCAGCAATTTGAATGCGGCAATGCAACCAAAGACTCTTAAAGTTGTTATACTTATTGTTGAAACTAACAGACCAAGTGATTACTTTGATTTTATTTTCTAAAATTGTGCACTTTTACTGAAAGCCATCTTTTAAAAATGCTTCAAAGAAATGATTTCTTACCAAATTTTCCCATATTTCAAACTGGGAAGAACCAGAAGCAGACAGAGTAGTGAGGAATAAATCTAGAAAAGAAGGAATAAAATTTAAATTCTGTAGTCATTCTGATATGTACATTTAAAAACTGCAAGAAATGCAATAATCATTAACATAATTTTACTTATACTTTTAAATTTTAACAGACTTGGCCTATCAATGAAAAGAAAGCAGATGAGTATATTAATGCAGTTAAGGAAACTATTTAAAGAAACATTTGGTAGTAATACTGCAAAATATTCATTATTAAGAACAATTATGTGTTCTAGTTTTTATGTTACATTTTTATTCTAAGGTAGATTACAGTGAAAAAACTCTAATCACAGTCACATTTTACTTTCTTATACTAAAAACACTTGTTTATGTATCAAAGAGAGGTTTCAGAATTATTTTACATCATAGTATTACAATATCCAAGATATTTAAGCTTTTTGGTGGATAAGCAACAAGTTATATTTCAAAATATGAATAGAAGAAATGTCTTAATGATAAATTCCAATGAGAAACAATTTTTGTGAAAAATCTAATTATTTTAATTAAGTTTCTTTGAAAAAGAACACATGACAATTAAATCAAACATTCTTTTAATGCAAAGGGCACTGAACTGCAAATATATCCTAATATGATTGGTTATAATGATTTCAAAATAGCAATTTTATTTAGGAAACATGTAAAGTCTTAAAAAGACAGGTTAGGGAGGGAAGGAGGGGTAGAAAGGGGGACTCAATCACAAGGATCTACATATAACCTCCTCAATAGGGGATGGGCAACAGAAAAGTGGGTGAAGGGAGACGCCGGGCAGTGTAAGATAAAATAAAATAATAATTTATAAATTATTAAGGGTTAATGAAGGAGGGGCTAGCAGGGAGGGAGGGGGAGGGGAAAAAGGAAAATGAGGAGCTGATTCCAGGAACCCAAGCGGAAAGCGAATTTTGAGAATGATGAGGGTAACGAATGTATAAGTGTGCTTTACACAATTGATGTATGTATGGATTGTGATAAGAGTTGTATGAGCCTCAATAAAATGATTAAAAAAAAAAAAGAAAATCAAGTGGTGGGGAGGGAAAAAGAGGAGCTGATACCAAGGGCTCAATAGAAAATAAATGTCTCGAAAAGAATGATGACAACATATGTACAAATATGCCTGATACAATTGATTATGGATTATTTTAGGAGTTGTAAGAGCCCCCAATAAAATGACTTTTTAATAAAACAAAACAAAAAAGGTTAACTCATAGGAATATTAAAATGACATTCATCTTTTAGTTTTTAAAAATAGAAATTATCTAAGGTGAGGTGAAGACCATGAGTAGCTTAAAGAAAAGATTTTTTTTTCTCCTCACATTAAAAATGTTTAGAAAACTATCACTCAAGTTTTAGTACATCTTTTATAAAGGCTTCACATAAAGCTTAATGAAGATAACTTATGTAATATCTATAATACAGATTTTCACAGACTACCCAGATAGCTAAGCGATTTGTTCCCTTTTATAATGACTTGAATCTCACACCCTTAACTCATACTAAGTGAAGACATTCCTTAAGTCAATATAGCAAAATGTGCTACACTTGTTTTCATTGTAGTGTAGGTGCTCTACTTATACATGGAAAGTTATAATCTTTTATGAAGTTGATTTCTTTATTCTGTCAACAAATAGACTCAGTTAGGGGAAAACTCTATGAAAATTTCCAAATAATATCGAGATTTGTGCGATGAAATACTTACTGGTACTACTCACTCCACGTAGCCTACACATTGAATTGTATGATATGTGAATTATATGAGGGGTTACCCCTCAAAAACTGGAATTGTACTGGGCAGAGTTGAACTTTCATAGTATGCATTTTTCCCATTAGGCGAGCATTAAGCAACTCGCTCTGAGTTAATGCACCTAGTGGCATTGCCTGGGAAGGTTCCCTCTGGTTGCAGTGAATTTTTTTGTAAAAGCAGTTTCACACTAACCTCATTTTTTGTGATGGCCGATATAACAGAACAGTGTGTGGCTGTAAAATTTTGTTTCCTGCTTGGGAAAAATGCCGCTGAAACTGTAGTGATATTGAAGCAGAGCACCACAGGAAAAATTTGAGTGTATGAGGGGCTTTCTTGTTTCAAAAAAAAGTGGAAGGTCGGGTAGAAAGGGGGAACCGATTACAAGGATCTACATATAACCTCCTCCCTGGGGGATGAACAACAGAAACGTGGGTGAAGGGAGACGTCGGACAGTGTAAGATATGACAAAATAATAATAATTTATAAATTATGAAAGGTTCATGAGGGAGAGGGAGCGGCGAGGGAGGGGGAAAAATGAGGAGCTGATACCAAGGATTCAAGTAAAAAGCAAATGTTTTGAGAATGATGATGGCAACAAATGTACAAATGTGCTTGACATAATGTATGTATGGATTGTGGTAAGAGTTGTACGAGCCCAAATAAAATGATTAAACAAACAAAAAAAGTAAAATGTCAATTGATGAGAATCTTCATTCTGGACCTCCGTGAACTTCCTGAACAGAAAACTCAGTATATTTCAAGTTCGTTCCAACATGTCAGAATGTTAATCAAGCTTCTATTTAGAGGTTCTGAAAAGATTGCGTAACAGCATGTGACATCAAAGGCCGGGTTTGTGGCAGACAGAGATTGGGTTTGTCACCGTGACAATGCACCTGCTCACACAGCCATCTCAGTGTAGCAGTTTTTGGCAGAAAAAACAGCATGCCTCTCTTGCCCTTAGACTTGTTTTTGTTTCCACAAATGAAGAGGGACATGAAAAGATACTGATTTGATTAAGTAGAAGAGGTAAAGAAAAAAACAAGGGAGCTTCTGGCATCTCTCAAACAGATGAGTTTGAAAAATGTTTCCAAGTATGGAATCACAGATTTGACAAATGTATTAAGTGTAATGGAGAGTACTTTGAAGGCGATATGGTTGTTTTATAAACAAATATAAATATATAGACTTTGGAGAAAAATTTCACTTTTGTGGGGGGAGTAACTCCCCCATATACCACTGAAATTATTAAATTAAAAAAACAAACAAAAATAAAACAAAACAAAAGATTCACATTTGATCTCATTTATCTTCTTCCTTGATGTTGGGCAAGCTTCTTAGACTGACATGTGATGGTCTCCTACTATGTTTCCAGGCTCATTTCCCAATCCTCCTTCACAGGCTTATGTTCCAGATAAAGTCACTTATTTTATCATAAGTAGGGGCTTCAAAAACTTCGTGGAACATTTCCATTATTTTTCTGTGAACATTTTGAAGACTCCTCATATTGTTTTTAACTTATTTGTCTCTGTATATGCCATTCCTTTTATCTGCAGCCATCTAGTAAATGAATTCTACAAAATAAACTCAAATGTCCCTTAGGAATAGTTTTCCTCCATTGTTACCTCACTGTGGTAGATATCTGTTGAAGTGGCTTTAAAATGTCCCATCATATTCTAGTTTCACATCTGTCTTTTGTGAGATTTTTGAGAGTAAGAGTTATGTCCAACTAATTTTTATATTCCAGCGCTTTCTATGTGCTAGGAAATAACATGTGTTAACATATGCTCCATATATCTTGTGGATTTTGTAAATCTGCTTGGACTGTTACTCTACTACATAGTTACTCTACTACAAAATAGTTACTCTACTACATCTTTTAGTGGAAAAAATTTTTTTAATGGTAGTAACAAAGAATACTTAATACTCTTAACATATTTATGTCATCTGCAAATGTGGATATGGTATATACTCATGTATAAGTTAAGTTTTTCAGCACATTTTTAATGCAGTTTTTGTGGTGAAATTAGGTGCCTCAGCAGATATTCAGGTCAGCTTATACTCAAGTATATACGGTAATTAAATTAGTATGAGAAATTGATTAAGGATTCTTCTTAAGGATATTTCTAAGAATTACTGAAAGTTTTAATGAACGCTCCGAGTTATTTCCATCAAGACAGACAGACTACCCTGATCCTACAACACAAAAACATGAGACTAAATGAAGCAGATATGAATGATAGTTCAGAAACTTTGAACTACAGAGCAAAGGATAGAAAAATAGATTGAAAACCAACTAGAAGTGAAACAAAAATAGTGAGCAAGGAAGAAAATGGAACTGTAAATTCTTAGGTGGCTGGACATAGTATAGACATTCTGAACTTGGCAAGTAGCATTCAATTAGCTCAGTGACCTGATAATCAGGTTAGATTATTCAAGATCAAAAAAGCACTCACTCCGGTAAGTTGGCAATAAGAAAGGTGTGATCTCTCTGTTCATATATACATAAAGTTCTTGTTTTTCTCCCCCTCTAGTTTTATCTTCTCTCTCCTTTTTCCTTTTAAAATGTTTCTTTTCTTTTGCTTTTATTTATATTTTCACCCCTTTGTCATTAATATTTAATTTAGTATTTTATATTTTCATTGTTACTGTTTCTCATTTCCCTTCATCCCATTCAATGGGAGAAAGCAATTGTGCTCATAGCACTGGCCAGTGGGTAAAGGCTACCAGCAGTTCCTGTACCATCAGTTCAGTAATAGTGTCCAGTGTTAAGTCAACTTACTCACAACTTGCAATGCAAGAATAGTGAACAGAGCACATACAACCTCATCCTTTATTATACCTACTAAGAAAGAGGTGGTAAGCACCTAAGAAAACATACATATTCAAACAACAATTAAATCTGAATAGAACACCACCACAAAGTCTGATAGAACAATTTCATTTTACATGATGCAGCAAGACAGAATAGCTCAAACAAGTGACCAAAACACAGAGCTAGAAAACCTTTGAGGAAGAAATGGCATTGGAATCAAAAGAATGATTTTTAGGTAGTTTCAATAAATTCAAAGAAAGATTGATAAAGGTACAAACAAAAATAAAGGAAGATATAAAAAAAAAAACTTTAGAGAATTTAGGTAAACACTACAAAATTAAACAAATAAATGAAATTAGAAACCACACAAAAAGAGCAATAGATATCAATTGATACTAAGATATCAGAAATAGATAACCCATTGAAAGGGCAAAGGTGAAGTGAAT